TGGTCTCGATCTCCTGACCTCGTGATCCGCCCATCTTGGCCTCCCAAAGTGCTGGGATTACAGGCTTGAGCCACCGCGCCCGGTCCGTATTTGCAATTTTAAAACATGCCAAATGATGTGTGAAACAGCAATCCTCACCAAATCTCCATTCTTACTTTATCTTTCATCTTTGGGCTTCTCACTCAAACTAGAGCTGAACAAGGGGAAGGGACTGTCTATGGACAAGTCTCAGGAATGTCTATTGAACATACTAGTTGGTAATCAACATAAAGAAGTGTTTTTAAGTTTCGAAACAGCTCTCAAACGGTTATATCAAATGAGCCTCAGCAAGATGCCTGCTTTGATAGTGCTATCTCTGTCAATGTGTTCTCAAGTGTATACTAAAGCCTTGTGAGGTCTCTAAAGATTTAAGGGCCTGAGAAAAGGAAAATCAGACAGCAGTTTGAGGATCTCAGGTACCTGCTGTATATGGTGGAGCATTTCAATTACTCTAATATAGTCCAGGTAAACAAGCCCAGATGTTTCCCAATCCTGAATTAGGCTGCTGCGCTCTGGAGGTGCCAGGTCTTCCAAGAACCCCTTCAGGTAGTCATAGTTCTCATTAATGATGGCATCTGAAGAAACAAAATATTAAGCACAACGTCTGCACAAGTGCATAGTTTCCAAAAGTACAGAAGACATGGCAGGAAGACATAAAGGAAGGAGAAATAATGTTGGCTGGACTTCAGAATTAAAAGCAGGCATACCTCAGAGATACTGTGGGTTCCATTTCAGACCACTACAATAAAGCAAGTATCACAATAAAATCACAAATTTTTTGGTTTTCCAGTGCATATAAAAGTTCTGTTTACACTATACTATCATCACTTATTAACTGTGCAACAGCATTATGTCTAAAAAACCAATATACATACCTTAATTTAAAAATATTTTATTGCTAAAAATGTTAATCACTTGAGCCTTCAGCAAGTCATCTTTCTGCTGGTGGAGGGTGTTTCCTTGATGCTGATGGCTGCTGAATGATCAGGGTGTTGGCTGCTGAAGGTTGGGATGGCTATGCTAATTTCTTAAAATAAGATAACTGAAGTCACTTCTCTCAAACCCAGCTGCTGCTTCATCAACTAAGCTTAAGTAATATTCCAAATCCTTTGCTGGCATTTCAACAATGTTCACAGTATCTTCACTAGGAGTAGATTCCATCTCAAGAAACCACTTTGTCTACAAAGCAAACTCCTCATGAATGACACCAGTTCAGTCACATCTTAATGCTCTATTTCTAATTCTAGTTATCCTGCTGTTTCCATCACATCTGCAGGTTCTTCCCCCACTAAAGTCTTGAACCCTTCAAACTCATCCATGAGCACTGGATTCAATGTCTTCCATACTCCTGTTATTTAATGTTGATATTGTGATCTCCTTCCACGAATCACAAATGTTTTTTGTGTTTTTTAGTTGCGGTCTCGCTCTCTCACTCAGGCTGGAGTACTGTGGTGCGATCTTGGCTCACTGCAACCTCTGCCTCACAGGCTCAAGTGATCCTCCCTCCCACCTCAGCCTCCTGAATAGCTGGGACCACAGGTATGCGCCACCAGGCCCGGATGATTTTTTCTATTTTTGGTGTAGATGGGGTTTCACCATGTTGCCCAACCTGATCTCAAACTACTGAGCTCAAGAGATCTGCTCATCTTGACCCCACAAAGTGCTGGAATTACAGGTGTGAGCCACCATACCTGGCCCCAAATGTTCTTTTTTTTTTTTTTCTTTTAAGACAGGATCTCCCTGTCACCCAGGCTGGAGTACAGTGGTGTGATCATGGCTCACTGCAGCCTCAACCTCCTGGGCTCAAGCAGTACTCCTGCCTCAGTAGCTGAAATTACAGGCATATAACACCATGCCTGGCCAATCACAAATGTTCCTCTCCCACCATCCGCCCCAGACAGGGTCTCACGGTGTTGTCCAGGCAGGAGTACACTGGCATGGTCATGGCTCACTGCAGATTCAACCTCCCTAGGCTCAGGTGATCCTCCAATCTCAGCCTCCCAAACAGCTGTGAATATAGGCACACGCCACCATGCTCAGCTAATTTTTGTATTTTTTGTAGAGATTGGGTTTCACTACGTTGCCCAGGCTGGTCTCGAACTCCTGGAGCTCAAGCAACCTGCCTGCCTTTGCTTCCCCAAGTGCAGGGATTACAGGTATGAGCCACCATACCTGACCCACAAATACATCTACAATGGTGAATCCTTTCCAGAAGGTTTTCATTTACTTTCCCAGATCCATCAGAGGAATCACTATCTACATGGCAGCTATAGTCTTATGAAATGTATTTCTTAAATATAAGGCTTGAAAGTTGAATTACTCCTTGGCCCATGAGTTGCAGAGTAGATGTGTTAGCAGGCATGAAAACAACATTAATCCTCCTTATACATCTCCATCAGAGCTCTTGGCTGACTAGGTACGTCATCAATGAGCAGTAATATTTTGAAAGAAATATTTTTCTCTTTCTGAGCAGGTTTCAACAATGGGCTTAAAGTATTCAGTAAACTGAGCTATAAATAGATTTGCTGGCCAGGCGCGGTGGCTCACACCTGTAATCCCAGCACTTTGGGAGGCCGAGGCGGGTGGATCACGAGGTCAGGAGATCGAGACCATCCTGGCTAGCATGGTGAAACCCCGTCTCTACTAAAAATACAAAAAAAATTAGCCGGGCGTGGTGGTGGGCGCCTGTGGTCCCAGTTACTAGGGAGGCTGAGGCAGGAGAATGGCGTGAACCCAGGAGGCGGAGCTTGCAGTGAGCAGAGATTGTACCACTGCACTCCAGCCTCGGCGACTGAGCAAGACTCCGTCTCAAGAAAAAAAACAAAACAAAACACACACACACACAAAAAACAGATGTGCTGTCATCCAGGCTTTGTTTTTCCATTTATAGAGCACAGGCAGAGTAGATTCAGCATAATTCTTAAAAGCCCTAGGATTTTTAGAATGGTAAATGAGCATTGGCTTCTACTTAACATCACCAGCTGAATTAGCCCTAAAGAGAGAGTTAACTTGTCCTTTGAAGCTTTGAAGCCAGGCATTCACTTCTCTTCTCTAGCTATGAAAATCCTTGGTGGCATCTTCTTTCAACAGATGGCAGTTTCATCTACACTGAAAATCCGTTGTTTAGTGTAGCCATCTTCATCAATGATCTTAGCTAGATCTTCTGGATAATTTGCTCTCCATCAGCACTTGCTGCTTCACCTTGCACTTTAATACGATGGAAAGACAGCTTCTTTCCTTAAATTCCATGAAGCAACTTCTGCTAGCTTCAAACTTTTCTTCTGCAGCTTCCTCACCTCTCTCAGCCTTCACAGAACTGAAAGGAGATTAGGCTTTTGCTTAAGGGAATGTTGGGGCTGGTTGCATCTATCCAGACCACAGAAACTTTCTCCACATCAGCCAGAAAGCTGTTTCACTTTCATATCATTTGTGTGTTCACTGGAGTACACTTTGAATTTCGTTTAAGAACTTTCCTTTAACACAACTTGGCTGTTTGGCAAAGAGGCTTATCTTTTGGCCTATCTTGGCTTTCAACATGCTTCTCACTTCAAGCTTTTGTTTAAAGTTAGAGTTGTGCCACTCTTCCTTTCATTTGAACATTTAGAGGCCATTGTAGGGTTATTAACTGGCCTAATTTCACTATTGTTGGGTCTTAGGAAATAGGAAGGCCCGAACAGAGGGAAAGAGATGGGGATGGCCAGTTGATGGAGCAGCCAGAAAATGCATATTCATCAACTGACCATCTTAAATGGAAGCAGTTGGTGGCAACGAAAACAAAACAGCAACATCAAAGACTGCTAATCACAGATCACCATAACAGATATAACAATGAAAAAGGGGCCGGCCGCGGTGGTTCACGCCTGTAATCCCAGCACTTTGGGAGGCTGAGGTGGGCAGATCACGAGGTCAGGAGATCGAGACCACCCT